GAGACATTTGTAGTTCTGTGTTTTAATTGCATTATCAGCAGACGGCTCGTATGTGTGTGTGTGTGTGTGTGTGTGTGTAACAGTGAATTACAAAGTGTAGAATAGCGATAGCGCTATTGTTACGTATAATTACTCTTTTTATCAAGGGTAAATAAACCCGTTCATCAAATTCAGAACCCGCGACTTTAGTCACTGCTATACATGCCAGGATTTATGTACACTGTTTTCAGAAATAATCGATTTTAAATTAAATTCATATCTTGATTGTGTCCTTGTTGGATAAGCTATTTACGGGGAATTTCGTGTTTGATTTGTGTTTCATGAACGTTAGAAGTTGGAAGCTTCTGATGTACTAACTTAAAAATTACCTTCAAATTTAATCTTCGCGCCTGCACTGGGCTTCAACCATGTCCATTAAGTTATTCTGGAGATCAAACACGCCGAAGGACTGAGGGAATTGTTGAAAGACGGGCAACGAAACCCTCGGGCAGTTATGAATTGTCCTGTATAGCAAATATATGTGCACTCGACGTAAGCTCTCAAATATACCCTAAAACGAAACCGCTGTCTTAAAGGAATGTGGCAGCTTCTAACCGCCAGGTTTATCTAGAATAGCCATACAGTCCATACGAATTGTTGTCTTGACAATCCATCAAACAGACAGTGAACAATAAAACTCTTTCGTCTCCGTACGGAGAATATTTTAGACGGGAAACTGCAACCCAGTCAGATAGTATTGATCCACTGAAATTCTGAACACAGCTACAGAGCAAAACTGACTTACATTCTACTTTCTTATGCCGTAATGTTATAAATCACTGATTCTTGGAGGATTATAAGTAACTCTTCAACCTACTTTCTTTAAAAAATGAAAGTATGTTTATGAGATCGCCATGCTGTCTGTGTGTCAAATGTATCCTCCCAGCGAACTTACTGATGCCTGAACCAATCTTCATGAAAATTGGTATGCGTATCTTGGCACTTGAACCCATCTCAACGGCGTACTTCATAAATCCCTTCCATCAGTCTGTTTCTGTATGTGTATCCCCTTATCGTTGCCAGGCAACGGCTCAGTAAAAACATACCCGCGGCAACGAATACACGCAACAGTAAAGGTGTTCTTAGATGCGCCGTTTTATATGCGATCAGTATCGTACCAAAGGAAATAGGCCATTACTTTTTCCCAGAATTTTTCCTTTAACTTGATTCCGCAGTTTCTGCGATATGTAGCAGCTTATGCTCTATGTGACAAGGGGAGGAGAGACGAAATTAAGTCATATCTGGATATGAGGAAGTTGGACAAACAAATACACCGAAGGAAGACAAATTGGCTGGGACATCTACAGAGGACGTGATCAGAACAGCTCCAAAACAAATGTTATATTATGAACAGATTGGAAGACTTGACCCAGGAGAACTAAGAAGAAGATAGCTTGCTGTTTGAGGACGGGAAGGGCTAACAAGCTCGACCCCTTTAGATGATGATGACTTTTGATTCTCTCATCGCCATCTGTGAGCCGATTGTCATGAAAATGTGCGAGCCTCGACGTCTCAAACCCCATGGACCTCCACGGTCTGTAACAGGGATAGCCTTGCCTTTTTACCTTTAACAGAAACCATGACTCAGAACTTGGACATTTTACTTAGTTTGCTCGAATAATTTACAGCAGGCTCATGCTTCTTTTGCTGCTGAGTATCAAAATATTTTCTGTTTTCAACGTTTTATTTTTCATTACATATTTCTTCGTGAGCTGCAAACTACGCATTTATCTGAAATGTATATTGTAGGTTTAATATAATATTTCGACCCCATATGCTGCGATTATTCAATCGTGGTGACAGGATACTCAACCACTAGAACCCTACTCGTAGTGTGGGGAAAAAGTGTTCTCTTACCCAGAAAATCTGTTAATTTAGTGGAAACTACCCGAAAATAAGTTGCAGGGAAAGTTAAGCGGTCGGAAAATGAAACTTACTGTTCACATCCATCCAATTTCGATAGTAAGTATGAGTGGAGCTAAACCTCCACTCTCCTATGTCTTGATGCACAATAAATTTCCCTTCTACCCCTACCTGTTGCAGATCTGTTTTCTAAATAAGGAAGAGCAGCAACGAGAGTCCTGTAGCTTATGGGAAAGCAGAGAGTGGTGCCCACAGTCGTGTATGTTGTGACGGGGATTCGAATTCGATCCATCTTTTTGAACAAACTCGGATACTCTGGCCGATATAACACGGGAATTTAACACATGGTATGGAATTTGTAACATAAAAGTATTACTGGAGGTAATAAGCGAACTCGTACCAGGAAATAATATACGTATATCACCAAATGGGGGTGGATTGCCGTGAATGTGGAACAGTACAGAATGGACCTGAAAATTATTTTGTTTGTACCCCTGAAACAATTGAACAAATGCCTTGACCGCGTGGAAGAATACATTTGGAAAATGGATATATGAATTTTTAACAACTCCTATAATGTAAATGAACATATTAACTTTATGCCTGTCACATGCATAAGCTTATTCTGAGTATATCAAAAATAAGAATATCACTTCTGTGTAACTTTTTTTTAGGGCCGCGCCATAGCTCAAGCAGTTAGTCGCTGGCTTCCCACCTTGGCGGACCGGGTTCAATCCCGGCTTTGGTCAAGTGGGATTTGTCGTGGACAAAGTGGCGCTGGGCCAGGTTTTCTCCGAGTACTTCGGTTTCCCCTGCCAATATCATTCCACCAATTTCTCCACAATCACCCTCACCTATCATCCCGGGCTGGTACAATAGGCCAGAAGTGGCCGCAGTTCGAGGGACTTAGGCCCACCCCACTAGCAGTAAAAAAGAAACATTTTTTACGAAAATGCTGAATATTTCGAATGAAGTCTATGGTACGTGTGGCAAGCTGCTCTGGTAAACGTAGAGCACCGTTACTACTCATACGTTTTAAGTAACATTATGAAGACCTATGCGTATCCACAGTCGATTGTGGAGCCGCGTATGGAGAACTGTCCAAACTAACTGCGGGACACGTACGACATTTGCAGCGAATTTTTAATGTCGTAGCACGAAATAAGGCATTTCACGAAATTCCGTAATCGTGTCTTATGCAATTATGTGCCTATTGCTTAGCTGTCTCGTGTATCAGAGAAGCATATCCAGTGTTACTGAAATATCACAGAGCCCTCTACATTAGCATGAGCCCACGCACGTAACATTCAGAAGACCGACAGTTCACTCAGAGACACCACCACTTGCTGACATTTCCCTGCTCACCATATTCAGATGAAGATAAACGCAATTTCTATTAAGCTGTATGCCAACCTTAATAATCTTTCTTTCGCGATATGAGTGAGAGAGTTCAACAATGAAATTGTGAGCAAACAATAAGTTGGGCCATCATAAATTTTATATGGTCAGTTTATTTTGTTGCACATATGGTGAAAAAAAGAATGGAAACTTCCTATGTATAAACATAACATGTATTGGTTTTTCTCCCAGGTTTATATTGAATTTCAATTTTACTCGCTAGTGTTAAAACTTCTCTGAAAACTTTCTAAAAAAATGTATCTCATGCGACTTCTTCCTTGAGGAATGTCTTCTTGGATGTGGCGCCCTGTAGATTTTGTGTGAACCTACGTTTAGGAGGAATGTATCGCCTCCATCTTCAGGGTCGAAAAATTCACGAGCGAGGAACCAGCGTGAGCAGGTGGCTGTAGTTTACAGCTCAAGGTTTACAACATTATGGGACCGAAAGTCTGTGCAATAAGAGGGTAGTGTCTGTGAATTGCCCCCGAAAGCCTTTTATATTTGTTTTGTATCAGTCCCATGGTAACCACAATATTCAGTCCGTTATTTCATAGGCCACAAACCAATCAGTGAAGTGCATGATTACGTCACACAGCATCACGTTACATCCCGACAGAAACACCAATGAGATGGGGAAACGTAAGAATGTCGTCGTCGTTTGCTTCCACACTCTAACGGCTGTGGTTTGGCTGAGAAAGGGATGGACGAGGAATCTGTGGTCATTAGTCCAATATTTGCCATTCTCTTGAATCCATTTCTATCTCTGTGCAAAGACAGGCACTGCCAGTCGGATGCTTATTCATGCATCTCTGTAACGTTCCGGTCAGAACGTTGTCATTCATAGTTCAGAAGGTTACAAGAGATATTCTCTTAAAGCTGTACAGCAGTAAGATTGTGTCAAAGAAAGGAGATGTTGAGGAGAAATAGAGAATTACGAATCAAGAGTAGACTCTTTTTGTAAGAAATGCAATAGATTCATATATATAATTTTGTAAGTATTTTAATTTTTCCACGCCTAATGGGAGGCCTATGTTCGGCAATAAATAATGTTTGAATAAAACAGGTTATCTGTGCTCTTTTAGTGTGGTTGGATCTGTTTGTTTGTGGACTTTGTTGGACCTAGTTTGTCCCACGCTATGTATATTTGTATTACAGCATTGCCTCCTCATATCTTTACATCTAAACCGACATTTCAAATTAGACACAACTTTTCTGAAAAGAACCTGCAGCTTTACTTGTGTTAAATTGCGTGATAGCAAGCGAAGTGTATACGGTAAATCTACCCATTTTCGTGTCTCACTGAACAATTCATGGACAGCTGTTACAAGCAGCTGTGGAACACGTGGCGAAATTAGTTTACGGTTCATGTAGTAATTAATGACCAAAATGGCCGCTCTGTCTTAGACATGAAATGTTTCCGCTTGCCCAAGCACTGGAATCGTGGGTTCCAATCCCACTCAAGGCATGATTGTCTGTCTGATTTTATTCTGAGTTTGTGTTTGGTAGCGGCCTTGCGACGTGCTGATTCCCCGTCCAATGAGTCCTACCGACTGTCTGAGATTTAAGAAATTGAAGCGAAGCGAACAATTTATGGATGACCTATGTCCCAAGTGGGAGCAACAGAGATAGAAGAAGACGTGCGGTAACTGGTAACCGGCCTGGGGCACCGCTTATACAACTCGGCCTATTTTTGTTTGCAGGTGGAGGAAGTGGAGGGGTCTTCTTCAGCTCACCACCACCTTCATTACTCCCCAGACGGTGGGGGCGGGGGCGGCGGTCCTGCCTCCTCATCCTCTTCGTCGTCGCCGCTACCGCCATCAGCACTGCGTCGTCATCGCCCCATGATGGTGGACACCACGGGTATCGGACCTGGGCCCTCGTCAGCACCTTCTGGAGATGATACCACAGCAAGCGGGGCAGTGGGGGGAACTCTGTCGGAAGGGAGTGCCAGTGAGTCGTCTCCTCGACAGTCCGGGGTTCAGTCTTTGGTAACATCCAGGGAGGAAGACGGTGAAGAGGATGGCCATGGCGGAGAAGGAGAGGATGCGTCAGGAAGCTGCAGCAAGAGGGACAGCATCGCTTCATCTGACAAGAGCCCCGGACAAAGGTACTGTTCTCAGTATCTCGCAGAGGCTTGCCTTTCCAGTCTTAAACAATTTCCATTACTTTTAGATATGTTTGGCTGGTGTTAGCACACTCAAATGATAATCTTTCACATCTGGGAGAGTGATAATGTTGTTCTGTAAGCTTAATTAGTGACATCATTGGGTTAAAATTTCCGTTGCATGTTTCCCAAACGTTGACACTATAACGCAGCGTACTACAAGATGGCCGTTCATCACCAAGAGTCATCATGTTTTCTGCTATCTTGATAAGGAAGTCTGGAATGAGCAATTAATTACAGCCGAGTCTACATTACATAAATCGTGACGTGTATTCAGTTCAGACAAAAAGTTGATGCTTTGCATTTATGTGGATAACGACCAGCAGTAGCGTTCTACATTCCTACTAATGCAACAGAGTATTAAGTCAGGTGTGTGTAGCCGGGATAGCGCAGTCTGTATGGAGACTGGCTACATACTTGACCGAGAGGTCGCGGAGTTCGAGTCCCGGTAGGGCCAAGAATTTTCTCCGCAGATTCCAGACCAACGCTGGAGGCCACCCAACCTCCTGGCCAATGGGTACTAGAATGTGAGGGTCATAATGAGTAGCATAAGCAGTTTAATTACAATTCCTTCGAACTTGTATTGAGTTGCCTTTGCAGATCAAATAATTAACTAATTTACAATTTCATTATACCCAGTTGAGCCGGGATATCTCAGTCGGTATACCGTCGGGTGCGAGCTGGACCAGCAGATTTCTAATTCCCGTTATGAAAAGGAAATTTTCTCTTCAGAGCGTCCTGTCCGCCTCAGGGCCACACCCAGCATCTTGTCCGATGGGTAAAAAAAGTAAAGGTATCCCTGTAACAGACCATGGATGCCCATAGTGTTGTGAGCTGTTAAGGTTCCCACATTTTCTAGACAATCGGCTCATCGATGGCGGCAAGGTTGTCAACCCTACTCGCCGGCCGCCCTTTACCCCCAAGAACATTCAAGAATATTCCTGGTACTCATTTCTGTTAGAGGCTGAGTCTATCCCAGGGTCATTTTTTTTATTGCTAGTGGCGGGGACTAAGTCCCTTGTACTGCGGCCACTTCTGGACTATTGTACCAGCCCCAGATGATAGGTGAGGGTGATTGTGGAGCAATTGGTGGAATGGAGATTGACAGGGGAGACTGAATTACTCAAAGAAAACCTGCCCCAGTGCCACTTTGTCCACCACAAATCCCACTTGACCAGACCCGGGATGGAACCCGGGCCACCGCGGTGGAAATCCAGTGACTAACCGTTTCAGCTATGACGCATCCCAGGGCCATAGTGCGGCTGGAAAAATTAGGTAAGTTGAAAATAATCCAATGACCTCATCGGGACTTGAACCGGCGACCTTCCGGCTTGTAGCATAGTGCCTCATCCAACTGCGCTACCGCGTCCGATGGGTACCCGCAGATTTTCTCACAGGCGTGATGCTAACCAGACATGTCCGTGTAATTCCGAGGTCAGGAACGGTGAAGCTTACATCAACATCTTCATGCGTCTTCATGACGTAGTGCTTAATTAAGCATAGAGAAAACTTTATCTTTTATCTTGAACTTACATGCAAAATGGTTTTTGTGATAGCTGAATGACTGTGAAAATAATTTTTTCTTTGCACCTGAAGTAAGTTTACATAGGCCTCTGTTGAAATGTAGGTAAATACGGCTTTGTTTTTAATTTAGAGTGAAGACCCTTCACCTCGTCTCAAAGTCCTCTGCCCGTCAAGGCTTTGGGAGTATTACAGATTACGCTACTGTCAGGCTGAGTACTGAAGCAACTTCATGATAGCCCACTCCGGTGGAAAACTGAATGTGGGAAGCTACCATCCTCCTTCAGTATTCAGTCAGACTTTGTTCACGAGCGGGATTCCATAGTAAGGTTTACACTTAAGTATTCAGACAAACAGCGGTTGCCATTTGACATCAGTAGCGACAGTAATGGATAGACTGAGGGACTGCAGAAGGTTTGAATTCTGCTGTTCCCCTTATAAGTTTCTACCTCGTACGCTCTTAAATCATACCAGCAGTCTCCGTGCCTAAACGAAATTGGATTTCTTCAGAAGAATGCTCAATATTAAGACGAAATAACAATTCACAAATTCACATCGCCTAATACTATAGTATATATCCTAAGAAATCACGCATGGTTTTCTACATAAATATCTGCATTACAGTTTGATTTTTAATCGTAGAAATAAATTAGTCAGGAAAGTAATTCACTCATTGTAAATTTAAATGCAGTATAACCATTCGAAAGCCAATCATAGTGGCCTCGCGCTCTAAGGTATGAAATATGTTTGCTCGCTAGAACACTGGGATCGTGGGTTCGAATTCCACTCAAGGCATGGATACATGTGTCCGTTTATTTTTTGTGTTGTTCTGTGTAGGTAGCGGCCTTGCGATGGGCTGATCCCCTGTCCAAGGATTGCTACTGAATCTATCTAGGTTAAGAAACTAAAAAAGCGGGCAAGGTTCAACGAAGGTATGGAGAGCCGTAGATATATAGTTAACCATTCAAATCTGAACCCTTAAAATTCGTTTAATTAGAGGACACAGGTGTAATGTAAGCCAGAGGTGAAACACATGCAGATCTGGAAAATCGCAAGGGAGGACATCATGTCGAAAGCTAGTCGTAATTATAACAATAATAAAGGAAGTGGATTTCTTTAAGATATGCTGTCTGAAATTGTGGATTGGATTTAGCTGGTCCCATAACAGAAATTTTTTGAGCGCAGTGATATTCCTTTACCATAAAAGTAGAGTTCGCTACTGAATACAAAACTCCCCATTCCAGCTGCCTGTATCCGCTTGCCCCTTAATCTTTACCACATTCTTAATTCTCCAAGATCATTTTAAATTTTTTCCTATGTCCGTCTCAGACTGCCAAAATATTCGAGTCTTGACTCCCCCAGGAACGTTGTTACATGCAGGTTTCACATTCCCACCCCCACCCCCAATATCGGCGTGGCTAGCGTATCCTCGAAGCTCTCATTACAACAGCATTAGAAACACGTTATTTGCAATATTGTCACGTGTAGGGGTGACTTACAGGGAGGTTATGGATTGAATGATTGGATTTATTCCACCCTTATCATTCACAAAACTGGGAACTACAGGCAATACAGCGCTACTGCTCTTCTACACACTTTCCGGTTCACTGTTACGCACGCACTAGGATTCTCAGTCTTCACTAGTCGTATCCTGGCAACGGTTTTATCACAGTCTCACTTAAAATTATACGTGGAGTCATCTTTCCACAGTCTCACTCGTTGCGTGCCATTATTGTGCAGCTATCAATTCCGAAGATTCTACCCAATTTAATTCCTCTGCTCCCAAGCTCCTATCCCACAGGCTGGCGTCTCTAAGCTCGACCCTTCACTTCCGTCATAACTATTCACTCTACTCGAATATCTTTCTGTTGTGTCGAACACTTCTTTATAACCACTTTGCACGGACCTCACAGAAAACAGCCTCTGTTGAGGCGTGTTTGCCACGCCGTTGCCTAGCAATAGACGTTCTAATGTTCCTCTCGTTTGCTTCTGCGGGAATGTGTTTAGCGAGTCGTTGCCTAGCAGTGAGCATACACGTCACAGTATCCTCACTCCGCAAATTCAGAACATGTCCAATTGACATATACACGTACATCAATACGTTGACAAACATCATATTAGTGTTTCAGCGAAGTGTGGAATCCTCGTGATCACCTTTGAGCTTCATATTACCGTTTTATTCAGGCATTCAATACGTATTTCCATGTCCTTGTTTCGCGATCAGACTAATTTCCTTGTAATCCCATGAATTAGTCGCGTCCGCTCACAATTATTGGAGACTGCAGTTTGATTAATTGTGTGTACTTTAGTCATCCATTTGTAGTGCGATTTATTTAAATTGACGAGTTTTGCTTGGGATAATGCGGATCAAATGAAATTATACCTGCAGTGTGACACTATCTGAAATAGCATTCAGAAGAGAATTCCCTTGAACTTCTGATTTGCTACTGGAACAATTTATAGTGATTTTTCATATATGCAAGGGGTTGTTGCATACTGTGGAATGTAGACCCGTTGCTAGGCAACGACAGCGAAATAATCGAACCCGCCACTCTCTGGCTTATAGCATAGTGCCTCACCCAACTACGCTACCGCGTGCCCAAAAAGTGATCCCTGAGTTTAATTAATTAAGCACTGCCATGAAGACATATTAGAGAGTGCAAGTGTAGCTCACCATTCCCGACCTCGGCATAGGTGGAGATAAGTGGTCAGCTTCACGCCCCTGCCATTTAACCCCTGGGGACGGAGCTTTCGGTACCCATTGAATAGGAGACTGGGTGAGCCCCTGAGCCGGTCTGGACGCTGTGGGGAAGAGAGAGAATTATTTGCACTGCCTGGGATCAAACCTCAGCCATCCAGCCCATAGCCCGTTTACAGAAATCTGTAGTGGTACTGTGCGTAACAGACTGAGATAACTGCCGATTAACCATATGAACCAAACGTTTATATTTTAAAATAATCGTCGTACACATTGGCGTTTGAACACATTTCATTAGGGACTAGGGCGCTGAGATCAGAAGGAAATATAATGAAATATAAATATTAACAGTTTGGCCCCTTATTTATTTGCGTATTAACTGAAGTAGTTGAAATAAAGTCGTTACGTAGGAGAAGAGCCATATAGAGAGCGAAAATAACTATTCCGGACAGAAAAATAAGACAGGTCAACAAAATCGGTAGAACTGGCAGAACTGGTGGAGCTCGTAGAGTAATTTTAAAACCAGAGCATCGTGAAGCGATAGACAAGTCGGAACGTAAATGAATATTCGTTTTGCAGACTGACAGGATTCGTGAGAAGCACGAGGAAACGGTAGTGGTTCGGTTCCAATGTGGGCGCCTTGAAACTGGGTCGGAAGGAGTGGCGCGGGGTAGGGAGGTGCGCCTGGAGCGAACAGTTGCAAAAATATAGCGCAGATTTAAGT